CCGTGGCATTTTTTAGCCGAACTTTAAATCAAACACAAAGAAACTATTCCGCGACCGAGAGAGAGGCACTTGCAGTTCTGTTAGCAGTGCAAAAGTTCCGAGTCTATTTTGGAAAGGCGCCGATAACAGTGTACTCTGATCATGCGGCGGTAACTAGATTGTACTCAGGGAAAAATTTATCCCCAAGGTTAATAAGATGGGCACTCAAGCTGCAAGAATATAATCTGGTAATCAAGCATACCCCCGGAAAGGAAAATATCGTAGCAGATGCCCTATCACGAATTAAAATAGACGAACAAGGTAATACCGTAAAGGTGGCATGCAATGCTTACAGCATGTACAATAAATTCCCGAGAAACTGTAATAACCGAACTGGGTAAGGATCCTGAGTTTGGAAGCATTTATGAGTATTTGAAGGATCCTGAAAATTTTAGCCACCAAGATATTGTGGCGATAAGAAATAGGGCGGCCCATTACGAACTAATAGATGGTCTATTATTTTATACAAAAACTACGAATTCCAACAACGAATTTCGACCTGTTATCCCAGCTAGTCTTAGATTAAATATCCTGCAGGAGCTCCATGACAGCCCTTTAGCTTCTCATGCTGGTATTCGAAAAACTATCCAACGCGTACGCGAGGCAGTCTACTTTCCTGAACTGCAAAAGTTAACAAGGGCGTATGTCCAGTCCTGCCCAACATGTCAAGCAGTTAATTATATTAATTTCCGCCCGGCCGGGTTTCTAAATAGTATTAAATCCGAATTTCCAAATGAAATAATTGGCATCGATTTATTGGGCCCTTTCCCAAAAAGTCAGTTAAATAAAAGTCGCTATCTCCTTGTTATGGTTGATCATTTTAGTAAATGGACCGAAATTGTTCCCTTAAAACGAGCCTCCGCGAAATTAGTTACTGATTCTATTTTAAATAAATATATTTTAAAATACGGGGCGCCCCTAAAAGTTATATCGGATAATGGTCCTCAATTTGTAAGTAATATATTTGAAGACATGTGCCAAAAACTGGGCATACGTCATTTAAAAATGGTCCCGTATCGGCCGCAATCAAATATAGCGGAACGGGTCAATAGAAATATAGTGAAAATTATCCGTAGTTATGTTAAAAATTTTCATAAAAGCTGGGATAACTATGTCAATGAATTTGCTTTCGCCCTTAGGACCGCAAAACATGATACAACGGGCAAAACTCCTGCTGAGTTATTTCTAGGCAGAAAGATTATAACGCCGTTAGATAAATTATTTTATGTGCAACAAAGAGCCCCAGAATTTAAAATGGGTGATATAGAAAAACTAATTAAAAGAAGCAAAAAAGAATACGGAAGTAGCACAAAGAAAACAGAAAGCTCTATTATGATTTGAAACGACGGGGAGTAACTTATAAAGTAGTAGGGATGAAGTTTTAAAAATTAAGCATTCACTTTCTTCAGCACCAGAAGATAAAACTGCCAAATTTTTTCCACGATTTGAAGGACCATATGTTATAGAAAAAATAACTCACGCTGTTGTAGTGTTAAAAGCCAGAAATGGTGAAACCTGCTTCCGCAAACATTGATCAAATCAAACCCTACTTCGATCGTAATAAAATGCAAATCTTTTCAGATCTTTTGCAGGATCCGGCACGGCAGACACCGCAGGTACAAGCTTCCAGAGGTGGAAAACGACAAGTACAAGGGCAAGCCAATTAAGAGGCAGGAGCAAGTGAAAAGAAAATTTCCCCGCGGAAAAATTGAAGGTAACAAGAAAAAGAAGCCGTTCCACCGTCCAGAAAAAGAGAGTTCACGAACACCCCCAGAATGAAGAAGGGAGAAGGACGACGTATGTGAAGAGAACCAGGAGAAATGACGGCAACTATAACCCGGCTCTAAAACGGAAGATCTACTCATCCGACAGGAACTCTCCGCAGCAAATGTCGCCGAACTGCGGAAGGGCCATCAGCGGCGGAGGAAAAAAAGTTACAAGGAAAATTTGAACGGCCAGCAACGAGGTCCAAGCAGGAACACGACAGAAGTTTCCCGGTTCCGCCAAGACCAGCTGCCATCAAACGGCCAAGACCACAAGCAGAGGAGAAAAAGAAGGTATTCAAGGGTGGCCGAACTGGTGAAAAAAAGGAAGCTTCCAGAGGAAAGCACTGAAGGGCGAGCCCGTACAAGAAGGAGGATAAATCAAACTACTATCTGCAATACCTTTAAAGACTGGGCCCAGAAAAGGATGTCCGAATATTACAAAGATAAGTAAAATTTTATGTTACTTTGCAAACTTAAGTTAATCTTTCATTCTTACTGCAAGTGGCAGATTTCAAGAAGTTTTACCTCATGCGAGGTCTACCTTTATCGCCAAAAGGGCGAGAAATGAGTTGTTACCGATTTTGGTATTATGTTTTTCAATTACTCGCGCGTAAAACTAAAGTTGATGTATAATAGCGTTGTGTAAAGACTTAAATATTGTAAAAAGTTATTGTATAAATTTTATTTAAAACATTCTAGCAAGAAAGAAGTTTTAGTCTGAAAGACTTTTTGAAATGTAGTATTTCAATGTAGAAAGAATTGGCACTTGCTTTGAAAAGAATAGAAGTTAACAATGTACTACTAATGTATGTTTTCAAATGTGTAAAATTAACGGCATGTTAATATGTTCTTATATACAATGTGAACTGTTATTTTAAATGTTAAGAAATACCGTGATATGGTAAAAGTGAAAGTAATGTTAAAATTTTGTTTATTCGTGTGACTGTAAAAGACTAAATCATGGTGAATATGTGTTAAAGGTTGAATGATGTAGTTAGGCTCTCTGACGCTACACTTCAGAGTTAGCCACATTCAGAATAGTACCTCAGGGTTTAGAGTTGAAATTAGGGTGTGTTAAGAGGTCTTGTATGTTGAATTTTAACACGTTAGTGTTTTGATTGTAGGAGGAAGTGTGGAACACGTAGACAGAAACACATTCGTGTTTGGTGTTCTTTTACAACACATGTCAGAGAGCACGGGGAGAGATAATTAAAATAGTTATGAATGAAATAAGAATGTTAAGAGAAGTATAATTATACATGTTACTTGCCATTTCATTGTGTAACATTTCATTAAACTAGTTTTCCTTCCAGATCTCTGGAAGGAACCAGAATTGAATAAAAGCTCCTGTTTAGATGCAGTACAGATGAAAAAAAAATTTAAAAGCAGTTTTTTTTTAATTTCTTTCGCACAAAAGGAAATTGTTTTCATTATAGAATTGATCAAATATGCGTGACTGAATTAGTAAGGGTTTTAAGAATAATAAATAATCAGATTAGAGATTTATTCTTGTTTGCTGCATATTAAATATATTGAGATAAGTTATAAAATATAAATATATTCCTTCTCCACTTATTTCTGTGAACATATTAAATGATTTAAATACTTAAAATGATTGCGCCTGTTTTCGACTCTTACTGAGAATATATACTAAATGTTCAAGAAATTTTTTTTATTAAGTCACAGATAATGAAAAATACTGAAGACGTCCTATGAATTAAGACAAATTATCCGAATTCAGAATCTTCTACACGGAATTTGATATGCAATTACAACTTGATATGCAATTAAAATGTATATTCTGTTTACCAGAAGTATGAATTAAACTTAAAATAAATGTAACATGAAAACTCAACAACCAAAACTTCTTTCTTACTACAGAATTGCGACATTACAAACAGTAACATCAAAGTCCAATGCTACAGTTCAACAAACACTAATGTGAAGATAGTGAAACCTTCCTTTTCTAATATGAGTTTCAGAAACCGGCATCCAACCACCATATCACTGAAGAATGCACTGGAAAGAGATATGCAACTCTCTGCAATTGAGTTAGGGTAGGGTATTTGTATAGGGCAAAACACAGAAATGCTATTACCTAAAGGGAAGGCTGCTTTCGTGGAGGATTTTTAAGGGAAATTGGCTCTTGTTCATGTTATACATGGGCAGAATCTTGAAAAACCAACCATGCGATTACAATGGGCGGGCTGCCCATTGTAATCGCAACTCATGCCGAAATACCAGTGTTCAGAGACTTTTTCTTTCAACTGTTGATGTGCTAAATATATGAAAGTAAAGAAAAGTGAAAACTATGGCATTTAGCAATCGAATCATCGTTACGACAACATGGCGTATCGTGTGGCGCTTGCGTCCGCCATATGTGCCATTTGTGCAATATTTTGGAGTAATTTTGAGAATTTCTAATCACCTGCTCTTTTTCACGTCTCACCAAACTTTACAGGTAAGGGAGCTGCTACTGATCACCTAAGAAAATAAATATAGAAAGTGCGCTTTCATTTGAAAAAAACCGCAGAACCTTCCCGATGACCCTATACAAAAAGAAATATATATATAAGTACTTTCACAGATTTTTTATTAAAAAAATTCAGGAATTGGTTTATGAATTGTTCATACTATCTTTAACGCAGCCGTTCATTTTGTTCATAATGTTTCTGGAGTTTATTTAGCAGATGCTATACCCCTAATCTTAATGCTCGTGGAATCGATTGAGTTATTAAAAACGTTAGGTAAACTGATACTGCGTTTTCGGTTAATTTTAAACTGTTGAGTAAAATCGAAAACAAGTTGTTTGGCGATATAATCTCTCAGTTGGCGACACTTTCCTGACACTTGGTAATTTTATAATAGTATATTTTGATTTTATATGGCCACTTTATACCTTATTTGAAGAATTTATTTAATTTAGTTACTTAGCTGCGTTTTGATCATACTGATCGAATTCTTGGTCATACATAGCGATGTATTTTCCATGTTTTTGTATATAAAAGCGGGACTTCAGGCATTCGATAGCAATATCTAAAAGATAACATTAACAATGATCATATTAAGGATCGCATACTATACGTCTAAAATAACATCTACGCTAATTGTTACGAATGTCGTAATGTATCAGAGGACAACATGTGATTATCAGATCGTAATGTAAAGATGTTGGAGAGTGTCACAGCTACCTACGGCCTCTGTGTGAATGGGATGAACAGCGAAGAGAGCACTGGACACTAAACTAGAAGCTCCAGACAGGAAATGGAGGCACAATCTGGAAAAAAGAAAACATTATTTAATCACATGTTAGTATGTTAGTAATACATTATACAAAATACCTGGAAGGACTTTTAATATCGCACCACAGGATTAATTAGGGTTTTTATGCTCTCACTAACATTAAAGATGATCATTCTGCTCTCGGACTAACTTTTGATAACACACTTCTTTTTATCTTTCCAGCTTTCTTATTAAGCTTCGCTTACCTCGCACCTTTGCAGCATATAATTCAGAAGGAAAATCACAAAACATCTGAAAATAGTATATTTTTAATATTTCTGGTAGCTCTTTAGGGGCTGCTATACATTTTGTTTTGTGTTCGCATTATTATTTGTTTGAAAACTGGCCAATGATAGGGGTTATCATAAACTAGAAAAATGCGTATAATGATTTTAATGACTCCAGGTAGTGTCATTTCATAAAATTATTTAATATTTCTAATCAGACAATGCATGATTTGAAATGCAGTTTTATTTAAATCAATCAGATTAAAAAGTAGAAAAAGTATTTTTAAGAATTTCCTTTATTGATTTTAAATTACTTCGTTTGCTACTCTGTAACAGGAGGATTAAATTTGAAAGTAATATACCTATTTTACGCTTTACTGAATGGCAACAAGCTGGTGCGGGAAGATAATAAGTATTCCATTGGAGGCAGTGCCAACATATTACTTTCAAATAACAAAATTTGTGAATTAAAATTGAAAGATAAATGCCTTACATTTTGATAAATGGCACCAATCTGAAGTACAAGAGAAAAAATATTTTCTTTCGAACTGTATTGCTACTTCTGGCTTTCAAATCGCTGAGTTTGTTAAAAAAAAAGAATTCGTTAAATTTGTACAAAATATGAAATAAATAAAAAAATGAAATCTAAAATTCGGGCTTTAAAGAGCCCATATTTCGGGTGGAGCACTACATGTATTAAAAATTTGTAGTTCTAGGTGCCGTCGTCTCCCACAATGCCGCGAACTTACATGCGTACGCGTAGATTCATTATTGAATTTTTTTAAATAATACATGGTGATAACATTTGGGAGCAAACATTTAAAACAGGATTCGGACATAAAAGTGCGTTTCGAGACTAATAGCACATGTAGTACTACAAAGCTGATCACTTGGCTAGATTTCAAAGAGATATCTTAATATACACAATACATGTAAGGGAACTTGAAATTTTAACTTAGACCATTAATTTATGCGTTGTTTCTCGTAAGTTTTATAACCTGAACGAGTAAAGTAATATAATATTGTATAGTTAAACGTAGCTTGTCTTATTCTAAAGCAGCATTTTTCAGTCTGGGAGCCTAGAAGCCTGCTTCTGTAGTCTTTTTATGGTTCCAGAGAAAGACAAAATTCAAATTAATTGCGTATACCATCATAATGTCCCATTTCAAGCTTTCCTAGAGCCCACCAGCGGCCGAGCGGTAAAGTCGCTGAACGCTGGTAGTTCGGTCCGAGGTTCGAATCCCGCGAACGGGCTGGCTGCATGGGCGTTTTCGTGGTTTTCCCCATGTGTAACGTGTATACGAGCCAGTTTCCCTTAGAAAGTCCTCCACGAAAGGCATCCCTCCTCTTAGGCAGATAGCCCTAGTGTGCTTTGCCATAATTAAATACACCTACACCTACACCTACAAGCTTTCCTAGTTCTGACTATCTGAAGGTAGCAACCAAAATCATGCCATTTCAGGCTTTTATTCCTCTTCTAGAGGTGTCCTGTATGAAAATGTCAAAGCTTATACCATTTCAGACTTTCTGGTTTTGACTTTTCCTCATAGCTGATAGGAAGGCGTTGATGGAGGAGAACAACGTACCATAAAATTCGTGCATTTAAGCTACGCCGGAATAAATTGTGAGCAACACAAAGAAGAAAAAAGGATTCTTCTTGAGATGGATATAAACAATTCATCCGGAAAAGAGGCCCACCAGCGGCCGAGCGGTAAAGTCGCTGAACACTGGTAGTTCGGTCCGAGGTTCGAATCCCGCGAACGGGCTAGCTGCATGGGCGTTTTCGTGGTTTTCCCCATGTGTAACGTGTATACGAGCCAGTTTCCCTTAGAAAGTCCTCCACGAAGGCATCCCTCCCCTTAGGCAGATAGCCCTCGAGGCTTTGCCATAATCACACACACATCCGGAAAAGAAGACATAGCTTTTGTTTTAAGACCATAAAACAGTTGCTCTGTTCCGCAGACGGTTATAAAAAATACATCTTTCTATTATATGCCTTAATAGTCTCCTCTACGACAAAAGTTAGATTTTTTAAAAATATGTAAAATAATGAACGCATTTTATTAAAATCTGAGATAGCAGCATTACTGACGATTTTCAGAATTATTTGGAATTTTGTATTTTTCATACATATTTAATGCTAGCCAAATCATGAAAAGTTTTTATTTTTCGCTTTCAGTGTTTGTGTTTTCAAGATGTAGAATTCCCAAAATATTTTAATCGCGATTAATGTTTAGAAATCCACATGATCCTATTTCAGGATAATAATAAAACTGAATCGAATCAAATTTGAAAAGCATCTTGTTTTATGTATTAGGTGAAATCATCAGTGTCATTAGCAGTTTATTTAAAAATTCTTAAAAAATTTAAAGACTGGCGCGTCACTGTGATGTCGCTTTATCCCTATTTCACAGTCCCCTAACCTTCTACCCTCTTTTTGGATTTAAAGTTGTCCCTGAATGAGAAAGCTGAAATGGGAATTGTTCTTACCTATCCTATCAATAAAGGCTAAAATGGCACGATCTTTAAAAACCTTCACCTGGGAAAGCTTGAAATGGGACAAAATATACCACTTTATATGGATTAAAATATCAAAATTTGAAAATTACATTTTGCTATGAAAATTACACACGTTTATAATTTTTCTTTCTAAGACTGACATATTATAAGACTTATTATCGAACTTTGAGGATATCTTTAACAGATATTTTTTATCCCCAAAGGGACGTTAGTCCCGAATGGGATATTAGTTTCGAAACGGCATTTTTCAGTGAATCATTATAAATGGGGTAACACTTTTCAAACTGTCACCACTAAATAGTAACCACTGTATTATATTTAAAGAAATTAAATAATGAAGAATCTATAGGAAAGCACGCATATTTCCCGCACTGCGAAAAACAGTGGCATCTAGAGACATCACATTTTGAACAACGTAGTCCTCCACTCGGAGATGGACACCTGGAAGTCCGAATTTTGGATTTCGAATTTGTTTTATTATTTATTTCATATTTTGTGAAACTTAAACGAATTTTTGATTAAGAAACCCAAAGATTTCAAAGCCAGCAGTGGCAACCCATAAAAAAAAGTATTTTCTGCCCGCGAAACTGTCTATCCGAAATTCTAGAGATATACTGTTTTTAAATATTTTTCAATTTTGCGGTTATATCGAATTTTATCTGCCGTAAGCACGAAGAACGGTATATTTAATAAAACACACAAAACATTAATAATACAAAGACAAGAAAAAAAAACGTTTCATAAAGACATTTTAGTAAGAAAACTGAACGTTGATATGATGAACTGAGAAAAGACTGAAAAAAGGGAAAAAAGAAAGAAAAAGAAAAATTTTATGCCAACACATAATGCTGCATCGGAAATTCTAATTGTATACTCCTATACTTTTAAAATTTCTGTAATTTTGCTGTTAAATTGTATACGGCGTAAATGCAAAGAAAATGATGCTTAATAATAAAGCTAAAAAAACAAAGAAAAAATACTTAGTAGAGGTGAGTGTAACAGCAGACTGGTAGACTGCCAGCTCAGCGAGAGAGTAAAAAACTTTAGCAAACCCTTGTGAGTGACCGTGAAAATCTGAGACCTTTCAGTTTTTTTTTTAAAACCTCTTTTCAGAATGTCGGGAATTTTCAGCTACAGTATTGCTACTTCTTAAATTCATCTTGTTTATCTTAGAATAACAAAATCCCTTTTTCACACTATTCTTTTATCTTAGTAACATTCTTTTTCTTGTCCTAAAAACGGCTATGTCAGTACTCAATTCCAGAAGAACCAGGATATACAATAAATATACCTTGGGAGATCCTAATGCATTAAGTACTGAACCAAAGAATCGTTGAGACAAAAAGCTTGAATCGGTTCGCCGATTCAACTCTAGTTCCATGACTGAGCTGTGAGACAGCACTCTTTTGAAGAATAATGCTTATGCGTGATTGTCAAATGCGTATTTCAGATGGAAATTTGTCATTGGAGGGAAGGGTTTAACCATGACGTTTATGATAAGTAATTTTTCGGATAAAGTTATTAATGCATAGTGAAACAAAAAACAGATAAAAAAAAGTTTAGTAATTGCCCATATTAACACTGTGTCTCTTCGCGTATTTTTCCTCAGCTATTTAGCGTCAAATCTGAAAATTTTAAAAATATTTGATTAATTTTTCGCTTTTCCAGTGCATTCAGAAATTGAGCTCCTTTAAATTTTAAAATGGATTTGTCCGCGTAGTTACTGCTTTCTTTTTACTAAGAATCCTCGCAAAGTACCTGTTAAGGTGATGTTGAAGTTTTCTCTTTTAACTGTTTAGCTTTGTATCATTTTGATACAAGGACCGTCCATCACTGAGAAGCAAACTGACATTCAGTCTAACATTTCACCCAGTCGCTCCACAATTATCTTCTCTAATTATTTATTGGTTATTTGAGACCGAATGATTAGTAAAGATAACAATAAGAACGGGAAAGATTCAAACTGCAGGAAAGTAGCAATGAAGATATATTATTATTATATATTGTAACATTAATATTACTATTGGAATTCACATTCCTTTAAAAGAAATAATATTGTGATAGTTACCTGCAGTTTATTAACGACTTTTTTCTTTTGTTACGTTCTTATTGTAGCTTTGTCCTTCGGTAATTAAATGATTCACATAATTTTTTCCTCTTGATTTTTGGACGATAAAATTAGTAAATCGAAACGAGGGAAAATACGCGAGGATATACGGTATTTAAAATTATTTTTTTTTTACATTAA